TCAGCAAAGGCTTTGTTGGGGAGCACTGGAGCAGGCAAAAGTTTGCAGTCCAGCTCTCATGCCAAGGAATCAATGGATTTAGAAGACATGAAAATTGATTTTGATCAAGGTTTATTAGATATATTCTCAGATATCATGGCAGAAATAAATGGTGATGATTTTCTTCCTTTGAGAGCTGAATTTGGCAAGGAACCAGAAACACAAGAAAAAGGAAACCTTCCAAATTCGAAAGAAGATTGCTTTCCTGGAGAGTTGGAAGAAGGAGAGATTGCAGATTAGCTGATTAACTTCTGTTTCCAAAATGCTTATTTGTAATCTGCTCTTCTTTTTATTTACGAATAAATTAATCTTTTTGTTGCTAGATTTTTTTTTTTTTTTAATAAACTAAACGTCTTAAGAGTTTTTTTATTAATGGCAATGGGCAGTATCACCGCCAGCGCGACCAAACCAGAAGCTTTATCGCCAGAATGCATCATCCTAAGGAATTGTATCCAGTCCCACCTTGTGTCTACAGCTTCAAACGCTACGGTAATGATACCTTCTATGGGTGTACATGCCTCATATATCCGCCAGTGAAAGACGTCGGTAATGGCAGTCGTGTCCACTGCTTCCCATGAGAGGTTAGCGCGGAGCTCCTCGGCTGCAAACCATCCCACACCACTGTGTAAAACATCCCACACCACTGTACTGTAAACCATCCCATACCACTGTAGAACCACAGCCTCATCTCCTATTCCTTTTGGTACACAATCATCTAGACTGTATAGCAGCCACCAATTCCCTGTGTTTTGATCCTGTTTAAAATTGAGGTCCGCCAACCAGTGAGACATTTGGGAATATCAAGTTGAATTTTGGCATTGGCTAGGATGAAGCCCGGGCAACTTGTATCATAGCAACCGTGCATTGATCCATTGACTTCTTTCTTGGATGTATAAACATCAATGCTTAATCAATATTTATGGTTCAAAAGCTGCATTTTCAGGAAAGGGGTAATGAAGATGATAAAAATGTACATGCATCCCAAACTGTGTAAGGTCGAGTCATCTTGTCCCCAGAAATTTTTGGATTCACCTGAATTTTTTTTTTTTTTTTTTTGTAAAGAAGAAACACAATTAAAATTTGAAATTAAAAAAATCGAAAAATATAACATTTAGAATTGAGTTTGTTGCATTTTTTTTTATATGTATCTGAAAAAAATAATTGTCAATTTGAACCGAAAATAACAATAGGACTTTTTATCATTATTGAACCTCTAAGTATGTTTAGCCATTAAAGTTGTTTTCAGCTGTCTGGCATAATGGCTTTAGACTTTGGGTTAGAACTGTTCACTTCCGTTGTTGTACTTTCAAGTCCCACGAAACCCTTTCCCCTTAAACGGACATTTTTTAATAATTTAGACTAAGACAGAGATTATTAAAAAATTTATAAAAAAAAAATAGAAAGAAGAATCTAATCTTAATAAAAAAAATTATTAATATATCATTTAGTTCAATATAATTTATTATATTTATTAATTTAGTTATTAAAATTTAAAATTTTTTATTTTTAATTTGAATTTAAAAATAATAATTTTTTAATAATTATATTATAAAATATGTACTAATTATTACTCGTACCATTCTTCCGACCTTGATCGTATTGAATTGATCAACAAGACCGCGTTCGGAAACCACCTGGTAAAAAAAAAAAAGGAAAAAAAAAAAGAAGAAGAGAAAAATCGACGGGACCACCTTCTTCCTTTCCAAAAAAAAACAAGGTTAAATGCTAAATTTGGTCCCTCAACTTTAGTGAGTTGCGCATTTTTGGTCTCTCAACAATTTTTTGCACTTTTTTTATCCTTCAACTCTAAAAAATACACAACGTTTGTCTTTCTGTCAATTTTGGCCGTTAATTCAGCCACGTGGTATTTTTTATTATTTTTTTGATGACATGGCAAGAACAACATAAAAATGTGCTGAACTGGACTCTTTTTTTATGACATGTCATCTTCTTCCTGCACCAACACCGTCTCACGTTGCCTGCAAACCACCAATAAAGATATGTGAACCCTAGAATGGTCTCTCATCTTCACTCTCTGCAAAATCAATCTAACTCAAGTTGGGTTGCACTAGCAGTAAAGTCCTCACAAAATAATATATCTGTGAACCCTATGAACCCTAGAATGCTTCAAAGGAGAATTTGAAATTCTCTGCCATTGAACCCAGCTACTGGGTTTCATTGAAGCCTCAAACCTAACCTAACAGATGTTATCAAATCAAACTAACCCTTCAATAAACAATATCAATCAAAATCTAATCAAATTTCAACAAAAATACAATCAAACTCTAATTAAATTCTAACAAAAATCAATCAAATTGTAAATCAACAATGGAAATCGCGTCGAAACAACAAGGCTGGGTTTCGATGAACCCAGCAAATCTGGGTTCATCGGAACCCAGCAGATCTGGGTTTCGACGAACCCAGCAGGGTTTCGATGAAACCCAGCAAGGCTGGGTTCTTCGGAACCCAGGAGATCTGGGTTTCAATCAAACCTAGCTTTCCTCGGTTCCCCATGATGGATCAAGCGCAGTCACATTGGAGCCAATCTGAGCATCCCCTGAGCCAACACAAATCAACCCAAAATCAACGAATCTATCAAAGAACCCATAATAGCACAAACAAGAACAGAAGCAAAATCAACATCTGGAAAGAAAGTACCCATGACCCAAGAGACCCACATTGAAGTTGGTGAGGAAATGGCAAGCGCAATCTGCTTCGGAAACATACCGGTGACGTTCCTCTTGAGCCTGGAGTTATCCATTGGCAAGTCATCGCTGAGCAAGAAAATGGGTA